CGTGCATGAACGTCGCTAAAAAATACATAATCTTGCACGCTACTTTAAACCCCATCTCACCTCATCTAAAGATTCAGGGATGAAAGGTACAGTCGATCAAAGCGTACGTAAAAGCTCTTCCACTCTGCAACCAAACGTGCACACATGGACTGGCAGCTGTCCCAACAATGTCCTGCTATGGGTATGCGTTTCACACGAGACTGTTTAATTTCGGAAATGTGGTCAGTAATCATTGACATCGATAACATTCAGTAACAACACTTACTCGCTAAATTGGAGTGTTAGCCCGAATTCGAACGATTTGTGTGAGGTGTGAGTGAGTGTGGTTTTGCGCCGCTTTTAGCAATATTCCAGCACGGCGGGGGGCACCAAAAATAGGCTTCACACTTTGGACCCACGGGGGGAATCGAACGCGAGTCTTGGGCGTGACGAGCGAAGATTTAACCACGAGGATTCCCCACAGCCCCAATGTGAGTTATGGGTGACCTGTGGTTTTAAGTCTGGTGTTCAGGGTTATAGCATTTGTGAAAACAAAAACTGGAGATAGATCTCGCGTACATCTCCTAAAGCCATGAGATGCAACAGCGAAGGCCAAACTAACTCTGTTTAAGGAAGACGGTCAGCTACTCGAACGTAACTAAACACATCAGCCAAAGAAAAAGCATAAAATCATATCCCAAAAAATCTGAAATCCTAACAAAACACAAAAAGGCGCAGGTCAGCGAAAATTGCTAAGACAAAAGGCGATCTCTTAAACACTTAAAGCAAAAGCATCAACAACTGCATTTATATGTCGACGTGCGTAGTGTTAGAAGCGAGAATGTTACATCATATTGATTTGTTAATCTGGAACGTTATTTGGCTGGAATATTTCGTTAGGAACGGTACCGTTAACTCGTATTCACTGAGTAGAAATAAACGTTTTGTTTCTTTGTTTTTTTGTTTAACGCCGCACTCAGCAACATTAAAGCTATGTGACGGCGGTCTGTCTGGACCAGACAATCCAGTGATTGACATCATGAACATCGATCCACGCAATTGTGATACGATGACAAGCGTCAACCAAGTTAGCGAGCCTCACCACCCGATCCCGTTCGTCGCCTCTTACGACAAGCATAGTCGCCTTTTATGACAAGCATAGTCGCCTTTTATGGTAAGCAATGGCTGCTGAAGACCTATTCTACCCCGGTCTCAATAAACGCTGAAGCATTAAGAACGTTCCACGTCATCCAAGTAATGTTTCTAACATCATATTGATCATGAATAAGGCACAGTAAATGAACGGGTTTCTATTAGAGCAATTTTTTTCGAATTCCAGACTGTGTGAATGAGCTCTGAGTAATTTGCGCTTTTAATGCCTTAAACTGCACTTTCGACAAAACAGATTTAGTTTTTGATTTCTTCCAAACGTCCCTTGTGAAACTAACCCTGCCTTGTGCGACTTCATTACATACATAGTATGTTTCCCCCAATATTTCTTCTAATACAGGGGGCGGTCCGGTAACCTAGTGGTTAAAGCGTTCGCTCGTCACGCCGAAGACCCGGGTTCGATTCCCGACATGGGTACAATGTGTGAAGCCCATTTCTGGTGTCCCCCGGTAGTGATATTGCTAGAATATTGCTAAAAGCGGCGTAAAACAACACTCACTCACTCATTCTTCTAATACACAGTTGTTGGGGCTACGATAGTATTCACACTTCAAAGAAACAAATATTAACACTTACATGTACGCTATAGATGTATGGTATTCTTGTTAAAAATAATATTATGTCAATCAGTGTAGCTGTGTACATCATTAGCTTGTTTCAAAATGTTTCTGATGGGACAGAGATAATACTGGTATAATAAAGAGCCATTGTCTTGCAAAGTGGTAGTCTCAAACCCTAATTAGATCAAATTACGTTTAGGAGGAGATGTGAGGTGACATTGGGCTTAATGGTGTCGCGTACAAGATTATTGCACTAATAATGCACGTGTGTGTCTACTTGCACTAGTCCGGACTAATGCCGATTTTATCGTGCTCGCCCACTGAGATACCATGCCGCAGTTTAACATGAATACCCCATTCAGACACAGTATACCGACTCCAAGCCGACCAGTCCATGGTTTAGTACCTTAATGCCAAGCGCCAGGCAGGGTAACAACAAGTACCACCTTTTAACGTTTTATGGTATGACGCGGACGGGGATCGAACCTCGAACCTCCCGCTCTCCGGGTGGACGCTCTACCACCAGACCTCGGAGGCGGTCTCTATAGTTAGGATTATTATGATGTTTTCGGGTATCAATTTGGCGCATGTAGAAGAGTGAGTGAGTGAGTTGGGTTTAACGCCGCTTTTAACAGTATTTCTGTTATATAACGGCGTGCATCTAGAAGATCTCGAGCATTAGTTTAACGCATCTGAAAGATCTCGAGAATTGATTCAGTGCATCTGGAAGATCTCGAGCATTAGTTTAACGCATCTGGAAGATCTCGAGTATTGATTCAGTGCATCTGGAAGATCTCGAGCATTAGTTTAACGCATCTGGAAGATCTCGAGTATTGATTCAGTGCATCTGGAAGATCTCGAGTATTGTTTCAGTGCATCTGGAAGATCACGAGTATTTGTTCAATGCATCTGGAAGATCTCGAGTATTGATTCAGTGCATGTGCCGGAAGATCTCGAGTATTGTTTCGGTGCATCTGAAAGATCTCGAGTAGTGGTTCAATGCATCTGGAAGATCACGAGTATTGGTTCAATGCATCTGAAAGATCTCGAGTAGTGGTTCAATGCATCTGGAAGATCTCGAGTATTGATTCAGTGCACGTGGAAGATCACGAGTATTGGTTCAATGCATCTGGAAGATCTCGAATATTGATTCAGTGCATCTGGAAGATCTCGAGTATTGATTCAGTGCATCTGGAAGATCTCGAGTATTGTTTCAGTGCATCTGGAAGATCACGAGTATTTGTTCAATGCATCTGGAAGATCTCGAGTATTGATTCAGTGCATGTGCCGGAAGATCTCGAGTATTGTTTCGGTGCATCTGAAAGATCTCGAGTAGTGGTTCAATGCATCTGGAAGATCACGAGTATTGGTTCAATGCATCTGAAAGATCTCGAGTAGTGGTTCAATGCATCTGGAAGATCTCGAGTATTGATTCAGTGCACGTGGAAGATCACGAGTATTGGTTCAATGCATCTGGAAGATCTCGAATATTGATTCAGTGCATCTGGAAGATCACGAGCATTGGTTCAATGCATCTGGAAGATCTCGAATATTGATTCAGTGCATCTGGAAGATCTCGAGTATTGATTCAGTGCATCTGGAAGATCTCAAGTATTGGTTCAATGCATCTAGAAGATCTCGAGTATCAGCTCAACGCATCTGAAAGATCTCGAGTATCAATCAAACGGATCTAGATGATTTCAAGCAACAGTTTAACGCACCAGGAAGATCTACAGTATCGGTTTGAAGCGCCTAGAAGATCTCGTGTATCGGTTCAACGCGTCTATCAGTTTAACGCACCAGGAAGATCTATAGTATTGGCTCGAAGCGCCCAGAAGATCTCGTGTATCGGTTCAACGCGTCTATCATTTTAACGCACCAGGAAGATCTACAGTATCGGTTTGAAGCGCCTAGAAGATCTCGAGTATCGGTTCAACGCGTGTATCAGTTTAATGCATCTGGAAGATCTCGAGCATCGGGTCAATGAGTCACCGCACGAAAAGGTTTTATCTATCCGGCCTCATCGATGGCATCAGTCACAAAAACATGCACGGGCAAGCCGCTTGTGCACCTGAAAAAAACCATGTGATATAAAAGTCCAACGCATGGGGCATACTTTTTTGTCTTGAGATCTTGATTTGGAAATGATTTCCACATGTCTTCCATAAAATGTTTTTGATAGCTTTACTAAGGCCTTGAATGTTGTAACCTTGATCAAACAGCTCTTGCACAAGATTCGTATGACGCTCTTTGTAATCTTCGTGAAAGTGCATGCTCGATTGTACTTCAAAATGAAAAGCCACGAAAGGCTAGAGAGACTGGAACATTGCTCAACGCACAGGGAAAATTGACTTTTGGAAATTTGAAGTCATCTCTCATGTCATATATTCTTGTGGAGTAGGCTGGTTAGTTGGTTTGTTGTTTTACGCCGCACTCAGGAATATTCCAGCTATATGACAGCTGTCTGTAAATAATCGATTCTGGACCAGGCAATCCAGTGATTGGCATCATGAGCATCGATCCAGGCAATTGGGATACGATGACATGCTTCAACCAAGTCAGCGAGCCTGACCACCCGATCCCGTTAGTCGCCTCTCACGACAAGCATAGTCGCCACTAACCGCAAGCATGGGTTGCTGAAGACCTATTCTATCCCGGATCTTCACGGGTCTACTCGGTTTGCATGACTGGCGAGTTGTATTTAAGTTTTTGAACATCCACGTTGTTTGCCTGTTTGTGGAAGATGTTATGGCGTATAAGCAGTGAACGATCACACAGCGACGTCTGAGTTGAACAACAACCTCGCTATCCACGGTATCATGTATCCATTCTGATATATACCCTGGACCCATCCGGTACCGTAGCCTCGTTGTGAGCCCGATCCGAATTACGTGACACTCGTACCATCTGATATTGTTCAATTATGGTCAAATAGCTAATTCCCTTCCACTGTTTTACTCATCGGAACTAGAACTAAACGAGACCGATAAAACCGCCTCTTCAGAGTGACACAACAAACAAAAAAACAAACAAACAAAGCAAACCGAGTCTTGTTTTTGGAAGTAAAAAATGAAACATACAACTGACAGAGGCAGATTCAATAATAAACAAGTCACATCCTAATGCTGCATCATTCTCGGAGTCCTCATTGTATCAAGTAAAACGTGGACAGTTGGCAGTGAGTTTGTGGGCTTGGGGGGCTGATAGATTGCCGGTAGCTCGCCGATTATACCTATTTGTTCGGCATCACTCAGATAACGTATGGCGCTTGTCTTGTTGAGAACCCGGATGTACTCTGTCCACAGCTCACAGGGCAGCGTGACACGTGACGTCCTCTGTGAGGTCACAGAGTACATACGACCCGATCTTTGACTTGAATGTCAAATAAACGACACTCGCCGTCTCAATCTACCATGTTTGACCACGGGAAGTACCAGGAGACCTGGCCATGTAAGTTTCTTTAAAACATTCTCATATGGAATATATTTCTCTATTTGTGTGAAACTTCCCACGTTCAGCTAATCTTTCTAAAAGGTCACACTTCTTGAAGAAGAAAAGGCACTCTTGTGTATACTGAAGAGTATTCCTAAACGAAACTCAATAATGACATCGAGAGGGGTGATGGGTTAATGGATATATTGGTTAGAAGACAAGTAGAAGTCAAGGTTCGATTCTCTCGCAGGTGCAATGTGCAAAGCCCTGTTGTGGCAATCCAGGTTGTCAACATATATTTTCTAAGGATTTGCTAAATTTTCAATTTTTCACCACAAAGACGACCTTCATGTGAGATAATGTTGTGTAACGCCGCAATCAGCAATATTCCAGATTTATCACGTAGGGTCAGCAAATAAACGAACCAGAACCAGACGAGACAGTGCAAGAATTCCATGTACATCCACGCTGTGGTGGGTCGATGACAGGCTATCAACCAAATCACAGTCTGGCGAATGTATCCAGCTTAGCCGCCCCTTGCCACAGACAGACAGAAGTGTTTATTATAGTCTCACTCTTAAATATTACACACTATCGCTTAGACCAATCGCTTAGCGATTTGGGCGTTTGGGTAGCCTAGTGGTTAAAGCGTTCGCTCGTCACGCCGAAGACCCGGGTTCGATCCCCACATGCGTACAATGTGTGAAGCCCATTTCTGGTGTCCACCGCCGTAATATTGCTGGAATATTGCTAAATGTGGCGTAAAAGCATACTTAGGCTTAGCGATTTATATTTGGTACAACATGATACATATATAAGACATTTATACAAAACATTGCGCCTAAGTTCTAAAATACTTAAGTAGGTTATTGCAACGTAACATGTCAGGCCCGGGGTGATAAAACAGGGACAATCTATAATTCATAAGATTCATTCAAACAGCTATTTGCGACTTAATGGTTTGAGCATGATAGAAAGCACCAAAGAAGTCATGCACTGTGTTGGTTTGTTGTTTTACGCCGCACTCAACAATATTCTAGTAATATGACGGCGGTCTGTAAATAATCGAGTCTGGTTCAGACAATCCAGTTATTGACATCCTGACCATCGATCCACGCAGTTGGGATACGATGACATGCATCAGCCAGTCAGCGAGCCTGACCATCCGATCCCGTTAGTCGCCTCGCCTCGGCGTTAAACAACAAACAAACAAACAAATGATGATGAGGATGATGATGATGATGATAAGCAGAACGGCGTCTATGTTTACGGCTGTCTAAGGATAGTAAAAAATCTGTATCAGTATAATACTTGGGGGCACGGGTAGCCCAGTCGCCAAAGGCAGAGATGCGTCCCTTGGGCACGCCAGAAACCTATGATTGTGACTTCGAATCCCAGTTCGCCCCGATTATGTTTCTAGGTTTGTCAGCACCATACCCGTGCTCGTTGGTTTCACCGAAGTGGTAAACACCTGACACCTGCATAACTTTCCTCCCACATTAAGCTGACACGCCGTGATATAACTGGAATAATGTTAAAAGCGGCGTTAAACCCAACTCACTCATTCAGTATAATACTTGGAGTTCAAAATATACCGGAAGGATTTTCGCACGTAATCCTTTGTTTAATTTTAACCCTAACCCTAAATTGAAATAAATGTAATTTTTGTTTGTTTCACATCATTTTTTAGTATTACTTAAATGATTTTCATACTTCTACCCAGTAAAAAACGAAGCAGAGGTAGCGGGCGGACGTTTTACCAATATAGCTCCCGATGTTGACCCTCAAATCAATGTGGTAAAGGGGAGTAGGGATGATGCTGTTTTTCAGTTTGAATTCAAATAAATCTGGATTTTCTGTCAACTTTTCTCCCCAAATATTTCTAAAATCATCTTTACTATATCGCGTGGGTCACGTGATAGTGTTACGGCTGATAACAAAGCAAAGCGACTCCGAGTTGTCTGTCTAATTTAAAGTAAGTCAAACATCACATACTGCATGGGATGCATGATCCGAACACAATTCAGTGTACTGCCTGTCCGTGACGACATATATATTCCACGTGGTCAACGGAGTTGTTTTTGTCTGTCTAATCTGGAGAATATTATCAATGGTTGGTGGTGTGATCTGTTGTCGTCAATGACGACGACGCAATCAGTTAGGTCATGTGACCACCCATCTGAAAAATGGTCATGCACTGGTACCTTGTGTGTATGCTTCGTCTAGAGGAAAAGTTGTTGGAATTTGTTGACAATACGACGTCTGGTGCGATTCCCTATTTTGACTTGTACCATATGTTACCGTGTTTTTACAGGCGAAAAATAATTGACTTGCCTTTGCATGTGTTTGTGACGAGTGAGACCGGTGGGACAGGATACGCTAAACGTTTTGGGAACACCTGGTATCATTACTATTGCATAGTGACTCATACACACATGTCACCCGTGAAGGTCCAGGGTAGAATAGGTCCACAGCAACCCATGCTTGCCGTAAAAGGCGACTATGCTTGTCGTAAGCTTTAAGAGGCGATCAACGGGATCGGCTGGTCAGGCTCGCTGACTTAGTTGATGCATGTCATCGATCCCATTTGCGTGGATCGATGTTCATGATGTTAATCACTGGATTGTCTGGCCCAGAGTCGATTAATTACAGACCGCCGTCACATAGCTGGAAGATTGCTGAGCACACATCATGCTTACGCTATAGTGTGTGAATGAGTATGGTTTTCCAGCAATATCACGGCGGGGGACACCAGAAATGGGCTTCACACATTGTACCCATGTCGGGAATCGAACCCGGGTCTTCGGCGTGACGAGCGAACGCTTTAACCACTAGGCTAGCCGACCGCCCCTGTCGATATAGTTCGGAATCGTACAATGGACTCTGCTTTCAGAAGATATTTCTCATGATTATGGAAATGTTTTAGTCGTTTTTATCGTTGTTGTATCACTTTACGTATTAAGTTTGTCTTTCTGAAGAGTTTAATTTGGCTGATGGAATGTCTGGGTAGAAAAGACCACCAGTACTGAACATCTTTGTTTAATATAAATTATTCCGTTATTGTTTAGTTTTACTCCCCACTTCTTCTAGTAGCTATATCACGTCGTTCGGTAAATAATCGAGTTTGGACAAGGCAAATCAATGATTGATATCATGAGCAACACCCCAAGCCGTCTGAGAAGGAAGACGCGGTCTCTACGGGGCATGCAATTGCAAGTTGAATGCTTGTCTCAGAGCTGACTAGACCCGTGAAGATCCGGGATAGAATAGGTCTTCCGCAACCCATGCTTGCTGTAAAGGGCGACTATGCTTGTCGTAAAAGGCGACTAACGGGATCAGGTGGTCAGGCTCGTTGACTTGGTTGATGCATGTCATCGATCCCAATTGCGTGGATCGATGCTCATGGTGCCAATCACTGGATTGTCTGGTCCAGTCTCGATTGTTTACAGACCGCCGTCACAAAGTTGGAATATTGTTGATTGCGGCGTAAAACAACAGACAAGCAAACGCAGCGTATGACTTCCTTGGTGCTTTCTATCATGCTCAAACCATTAAGTCGCGAATAGCTGCTAGATTGCTGATGCGGCGGTAAACAATATTCACTCATTTATGTTATGTTGGTGGAATATTGCTGAATGCGACATTAAACTAGATTTGCTACTGATCACCAACTTACTTACCAGTTACATGAAATCGGTGTAGCAAAATCCACATCCTTAAATATTTTCAACGATTTTCATCAGATGCTGCTGAGATTGAGGCCCCATCCCCAATGGAAGAGTTGATGCTACATCACAGCAAGAACATGACCTACTTTAAAAGATGTCGCACACAAGCAATGGTCCTGTATAGGCGGTTGATGGAGATACGAACTCGGTACCAGCATGCCCGAGACAACCGGATGTGGCAATGGGTGTATACACACTACCTGCGCATGCTCATAGTGGAAGGTCTCATCGTGGCGTTCCACACTCTGGCCGCTAAAACCTTTGACAGACTCCTGGACCTGGAAGTGAGGATGGGGTGGGAGGAGGAGTCTGAAATGGACATTGATTCTGGAGACGACTTGAACGAAGATTGGGTGCAGCTGTAGATCGAGAGGCCCTCTTGCGTTACCTCTCTTCGCTTACCTCCCTTTGGTTGCTCAACTATTTATTCCTGAGACGCTCAACCTGACGTCCAGTAACTCTGACTTGAAAATAAACATAAATGTACAGTTGTTTAACGAGGATTATCTCCGAAGAGAAATCTTATCGTAGATGTCTGAAACAGGACACGACTTTCGCCGGAAGCAAATCTGAAGAGGGTCAATACCAGATTGGACTCGATGGTGTTGACGTCACGGGTGATTATTCTACAGTTCTGAATATGCTCTTCAAAACCCCCTGCGATATGTCAACTGGGCCTATGGTACCTTACACGAAATGAGCTAGAATTACGTGTGTAAAGTTTGTTCTGGGATGAGGAATTGTAAGATGAACCTGAATTCGACGCCCGCACTGTATATCTGGCGCCATGTAGGACACGTTGAACCAGCATCATATTCGGTGGATTCTGGTGGTTTGGATCAACAGTTGGTGTCCTTTTGTTGCCATAGTTGTTTAAAAAACTAATGAAACTTTTTGTTTCCTATGATCTGATTGTGGACATGTTCTGAACTATGACAAGTGGGTATAAGTCCATAGAGACACAGCCGTTTTGGGCCAGTAGTGTCGCTTTGACCACTCCAATGGACATTTGGCAGACGATGTGCCTCAGCTGGCGCAAGGCACGGCCACGCTGCTCGCCTATACGATGATATAGACGTTCATGACGTTACCGAAGATGTAGTGCTACTACTCTTACGGCGTTGTCTGACTTTAATAACCCCCGTCAGATAATTCAGGAGATATAAAGCGAATGTGCATTTATATCAACGAACTTTATAATTATATTGTTTTCACTGTTTGAGTATTGTCCTAATCAAAATGAAGTGCTGGCATTTGTCAAGTTGTGGTGTACAGTCGGAAATACAGAGTGCAATGTATGTATTAGTTGTCATGTTGAGATTGTATCCTTGTACTGTGTATAAGGGGCTACAATTCGTGGGGCAGCCTTGTGTTTAAAGCCTACCCACCACCCCTCCAACCTAAGTTGGATTCCACTCCACTCAGGGTATATATTTCAATTGGCTCACTTTTGTAATATGGCCAAATAGTGATGGTATGGCCTTGTGGCAATAACGTTGGCTTGACAAACACCGAATCCGGGTTCAATGCTCCACATGGGCACGATGTGGAAAGGCCGTTAAAAAATGTTTCCTCTCTCTCTCTCTCTCTCTCTCTCTCTCTCTCTCTCTCTCTCTCTCTCTCTCTCTCTCTCTCACTCTCTCTCAATCTGCCTCTCTTTCCCCTCTCTCCCCGTCTCACCCCCCCCCCCCCCCCCCCCCACACACACACACACACACTCCACACACACATCACACTTCTGCACATCGGCACATAAGTCTAATGCTCTTGAAGGCGACCTTGACCCCCAATTCACCTCACGTCCTCAAACAGGTAGAAACAAAAGAAACAAAACGCTACACGTGCTGTTCATCCTACAGCGGCAACATCGGCCACCTCGGCCACTTCGACAGAGACGTAAACATGGATATATTAAACAACAAAGGTTACCCCAAATTGCTTTGCGTCTTGAACAATCGATCACATCGTAAAAGTCGGTTGATGCCACGGTCCATGCAGCCAAGTCGCTGTAAACAACGCCGCTTCATTACATTTATGAATGTTTATGCCTGTCCTCCGGAAATTTCAGTTCAAACAACTATAGCTAACGTTAGGTCATTATTGTGCGCCCACTTCACCAACAACACGAATGCGGGAGAGACGACGAGCTGCAACGTCGCGAAAGGGAATCCTATCCGGAACGTTCCGGCTTTTAAAGTCTAGTGACGTCACTGTCATGTAAGCGTTGCTTAATCTAACATTCGCCTGGTTTATCGTTCCGGGATTTATTGACTTTGGGGGAATGGCGGGTGTTATGGTATTATCGCTTCTGCACGAACAGTGGACAATGTGGATTTTAGTTGGATGCTATTAAAATCAACACCCATTGTGTAGAAGGGCCGCTTAACTGGCCAATCGATGATATCACTGTTATCGACTTGTGTAGCCTCTTCGCTGAAGACAATCAGTTAATTGCCGTATGTTTTCTTATCATCGCCACATCAAAGGCAGTCGGTAGCGGGGGACTTGGTCCGAACAACACGGTCTGGGGATGCTGTCTGTTGAAGTGAGACTCTGGCACGAGGGATCAGACGGATCATGTCAATCTGCAGATGTAATTATGATAATGACAGCGGTGAAGGAGTCAGTAAATTAAAACTTATCGACTTGTAGCGCCGTTATCAACCACTGGAATGTGTTTTAACTACAGTCACCTCATCGCTCAATACCTACTGATCGGTCTCAAAGCAGTGTGCTATATTTATTTTTTGTGCTGCTAAATGTTGTTTTGTTTGTTTTTAACTCCCCACTTTCCAGCTATATGATGGCGGTCTGTAAATAATATCGTAAAATGTTTTGAAAGCTTTACTGAGGCCTGGAACGTGAGGTTAAACTTTTGAGCAAGCGTTGAATGATGCTCTTTGAGAGAGGTTTAACGCAGCTTTGAACAATGTTCAAGTTGTTTCACGGCGTGACTGCTTGATGTGGGAGGAGAGTCCGAAGTGATGCAGGTCTCAGACGCTTACGTGGACACGGATTGCCTACTAGTCGTCTAAGGAGCCGCGATTCGCTGTGTGGGTTCCAATCCCGGTTCGCCCCGATTATGTTTCTAGGTTTGTCAGCACCATACCCGTGCTCGTGGGTTTCACTGAAGTGGTAAACGTCTCAGACCTGCATCACTTCGGGCTTTCCTCCCACATTATGCTGACACGCCGTGATATAACTGGAAAAGTGTTAAAAGCGGCGTCAACCCCAACTCACTCACTCACTCACTCACACGGACGTTAACCACTTTGGTGAAAGCCACGAGCACTGGTATGATGCTGACAAACCAAGAAACATCATTTGACCAAACCAGGATTCTAACCCACAGTCCTAGGTTTCTGAAGTGGTGCACGGTGCAATGTGCCCCCCACCCCGACGACTTCTTCCAAAGAGGATAATTTAAGATCCCTCAAATACATTATGAACAAAAAATGTGTCTTCCTTGCCAATTATCTCATCTATCCTCCTTATAGTATAAACATAGTAAGCCTGAAACTAATTGCAGAAATTCTGCGTTATGTCAGACAACGATAACATGATGTAGGGATCAGATTAAGTCAAACTGTTGCGTCTCTCGCCTTAAATAGACATCCCTCCCCGACCCAACCTCAAATCCTCTCTGTGGGTCCGGTACAGCTAGCGTCCAGACATGTCTGTATGGTATCTACAGGAACAACCCTCACCAGGCACACAGTTTCTACGTTCAAGGTCTCCCGTGTGGGCGGACTGAATAGGAGGATGAGCGCGAGACTCTGGTGATGAGTGAGATATATTAAGTCCTGTTTCGATTCCAGACTATTCCAGAAGTCGACCATTGGTAGATCATAGTAGTCACAGCTCTGTCACTTTACTAAATGCGGCGTGGAAAGGGGCGTGAGCGTTCTTTTGTTTGTTGTTTAACGCCGCACTCAGCAATATTCCAGTCATATGACAGCGGTCTGTTAATAATCGAGTCTGGACCAGACAACCCAGTGATTAATATCATGAGCATTGATCCATGCAGTCTGGATACGGCGACATGCATCAACTTAGTCAGCAAGCCGAGCCCGTTAGTCGCCTCTTACGGCAAGTATGCATCGCTGAAGACCTATTCTAACCCGGAATTTTAAGGGTTTGCGTGAGTGAGTGTGTGGTTGAGGGAGTGAGTGATCGAGTGTAAGTGAGAGAGAAGAGAAGGGAGATAAAGAGGAAGCGGAGAGAGAGAAAAGGGAAGATAGAGATTACGTGGAGAGAGAGAACGGGAGATAGAGAGAAAGCCAAGAGAGAAAAGGGAAGATAGAAAGTGGAGAGGGAGAGAAAAGGTAGATATGTTAAGTGGAGAGAGAGAAGTGAGTGAGTTAGTGAGTGAGTTGGGTTTAACGCCGCTTTTAACAGTATTCCAGTTATACCACGGCGTGTCAGCTTAATGTGAGAGGAAAGCCCGAAGTGATGCAGGTCTTTGACGTTTACCACTTCGGTGAAACCCACGAACACGGGTATGGTGCTGACAAACCTAGAAACATAATCGGAGCGAACCGGGATTCGAACCCACAATCATAGGTTTCTGGCGTGCCCAAGAGACGCAAATCTGCACAGCAAATCGCGGCGCCTTAGACGACTGGGCCACCCGTGCCCCCCGGAGAGAGAGAAGGAGATAGAGAGGACGAGTGAGGAAGATGGGGAGTTCCTCAACTCGCTGTCAGCGATAACCGTCATCCCATTGTCGGTCCTACTACGGCAGGCCTAGAACATTCTCCACTCTGTTATATTCCCAACTAATGCCAGTAAGATGGCCTGGTCGACCTGCTGGCACCAACATGCATCAATAGCAGAGCAACATCTTGGAAGCGGGCGGTTTTTACCCAGTTAATCACAGGCTGAAAGAACATTGACTTTAACATTCAGTTCAAGACTCCAGATTAATTGCTAGCAAAAGAAAACAAACCAACTCAGAACTGACGTCCCCTATGCATTTCAAATTGTACAATGGACGAGAACCCCTCCTTGGTGTTATGTTTCTTTGGTCATTATTTCTCACTAACCACGCACAGCCCTATAATGATGGTTTTTTGTCCAAAGATAGTTATTTGTTGAAGAGATACTTTTCAAAATTTGTTTTTTGTTTTTCAAATCATTGGATCCGTGTTAAGATAATAATTATAATATCACAATTAGTAAGATAATTGTTTTCAGTCAAATAATATGGCAACATGCGGGATATGTACATGTCAGCAACAACATGACGATATATGCACGCGCCAGCAGCAACATGACGATATATCCGCGCATCTGCAACATCATGACGATGTATGCACGCGTCACCACCAACATGCCGATATATGCACGCGTCAGCAACATCATGCCGATATATGCACGCGGCACCAACAACATGAAGATATATGCACGCGTCATCAACAACATGACAATATATCCACGCATCAGCAACAACATGACGATTGTCTGCCCTAGACTCGATTATTGACAGACCACCGTCATATAGCTGGAAAATTGCTGGGTGCGGCGTTAAACAACAAACAAACAAATAAACAAACAAACAAAACGTTGAGTTATGTGAAAACGTGAAAGGTGGAAGAAAATAATACCTGACTATTTTTTTTAAATGTATCTAGAACTTTCACTTCACGCATTCATGCACGAAATAAATACGACTTGTTGAAAATGTCAATATCTCCGAAACTGTAACATGTTAAATTAGAAGAGTAAAGCGTTAAACAACACCATATATGGATTGGCGGCTGATTATTTCAGGCGTGGTGGGGGAGTGTGTGGGTAACGAGCTGAACGTGCGGTGGCAGTTGAAGTTTCACATATGACACTAATTACACTGTCTAGACCTGGACTGGAAATAGACACTATGAACATCCCCTGCTTAAGTGTAAAGCTGTGAGCTGCACACAGGAATAACTCACAGATCAGGTACATTTCCGAATTGTTTGTTGCGTTCAAAATATCTGCACTTTTAAAGAAATACAATGTATGTGCATATTATATCATTTTTTTGTTTGTTTAACGCAAATAAATTTATATTCCAGCTACATGACGGCGGTATGTAAAAAAAATGATTCTAGACCAGACAATCCAGTGACTGACATCTTGAGCATCGATCCACGCAATCAATCAATCCAACTTTAATTTGTCTTTTTTATGTATCTACTTATGACAATGACGTCGAAGATACCTCCTGTACATGAGGAAACAATGGCACAAGAACACCGTGTCTGCCCCAGGTGGTTACTACGACTGGGTTCCATCCTATGATGCGAATACGCAGTTG